GCAATACATGTCTGACACTCATCCCCAAAACATTCATGTATTCGTTCTTGAACCTTGGAATCTGTTGACTGCCTTGTGTCTGGCTGATTGAACGCCCATCAGCAACACAAATATACGTTATGTTTCCCATTGTTTCTCTTCCTGTGTGCTGTCACTGATCAATATCCCATTCATGTACGTTACACAGCACTACGCACCACTCCTGTGTTGATCAGCCATCGGACGTGTATCCTGATTGGCTGCCAGGCAACGCTCGATCAGGGCGGAACGTCCACATACACTGTCTCCCGTCGAGCATGACGACACATAGGGATGGTGCAGTTGAAAGCGCCGAGGGAAATCCCATTGAAACCCATTGTCATATGTCACGTGATTTAGGATGAAAGTACCCGTCATGCATCAGTGATAATCAAAGGGAAAAAATCACCTAGCTATAAACATGGGGAGAGATTTTTACAAATGGATATTTGTTTACTGATTGTAATTAATGTTATAGGACACGTGATTTGGGTGCAACTGTTTAGTCTGTTTACTGATGCGTGATAAAGATGGTCGGTCTTACGTCAGCTTGTTCCTTGTAATGGCTGGATAGATGCACGGAGCAGAACCACAGTCTTTATCTGTACTAGAGCACCGACAGAACATACATATAAGGTTTGATACACCCTGTTCAAAGGTAATGTATACTAGGCACATAAAGAAACTGTGCATACAAAAATTTAAAATCTAAATTTATCAAACCTGTGTAGACACATAAGGATTTAAACTAAGAGATTAGTGACATGTATCCAACATGCATGCACGTGCCACATGAATGCCACACAACACTGTCACTTTGGAAAGCTCAACCCCTGCCCTTGCGATCGTTCAAAAAATTAAACGGCTATTGAAACGCATAGCATGCCAAGGCTCACGTCTGCACAACGTCATGAGGCCATTGGGATGGTCCGTCGGGGAATGTCTCAACGACAAGTGGCTGCACATTTCCACTGCCACCGGAACACCATTTCTGCACTGGTGAGACGCTACCAGAACACAAATAACGTCATCGATCGGCCACGTTCTGGACGTCCACGTGTAACAACGCCAAGACAGGACAGATGGATAAGGGTGACCCATCCTCGCCACAGGTTTCAGACTGCAGTGATGACTGCCCGAACCATCCCAGGACTTCGCCGTATCCACCCCAACACAGTTCCACAACGTTTACGTCATCACAGGATCAGACCATGACGTCCCGCCATACGGCCTATCCTGACACAACGTCATCGACAACCTCGCCGAATGTGGTGCCGAAATCATGTCCGCAGACCCTTGTTTTGGTGGAGAAATGTTGTTTTTACAGATGAGTCCAGGTTTAACATTTCCCATAGTGATGGACGTCAACGTGCCTATAGACGCGTGGGAGAACGTTATGCACAGGCCTGTGTCTTGGAGAGGAATCGCTTTGGTGGTGGTTCCGTGATGATTTGGGGTGTAATAACAGCACGCCAAAGAACTTCTTTTCGTGATTGTTCAGGGCAATTTACCTGGTGTGGGCTACAGGGATCAGATTCTTCAACCTGTGGCAATTCCTTTTCTGCAACGTCATGGCCCTGGGTTAACATTCCAACAGGAAAATGCCCGCCCTCATACGGCAAGGGTTGCTATGGATTTCTTGCAACACCACCGGATCTCTCCCCGAAAGAGCATGTTTGGGACAAGATGGATGGACGTCTACGCCGTCTTCCTCATCCGCAAGATAACGTCCTTGACCTTGCAACAAAACTTGCGAGAATCTGGCGTGACATCCCACAAGCCTTCCTTGCACGTTTGATAGGCTCGATGCACTGCTGTTCTCAATGCCGATGGTGGACATACCCGTTATTGAGCTTGTGACATGGTCGTTTGACCCCTGTCCCGCTTGTGGACTCGTGACGTCATTGTGATTGACTTTTCAGTTGAAATTCTCCCCACTTGTTATGGTCTCATGATCCCTCCATTGAAGTTTATATGTACCTTTGGCATTGTTATCGTACTTATCAACTGGGATAATATTTTCACAATGCACTGTTTCTTTATGTGGCTAGTATATTTTCTTCAGATCAGGCTAAATTCTGTTTACAGCATAAACATCAGGCACAGGCGGACCTGGTCCGCCTGACGTCCGAAAGTGGACATGGCGACCCATGTACACACCAAATTACGTTTACATCTGGTATTTATTGTGACCCTCCCTGACGCCGGAATTAAAGGGACAATACAAAAATTACTGGACATACATACGGGTCGCTACGCAGGTGGAATAACAGTACCACAAAAATATACAAAAACCGTATTTCACTGGACCCCACCTCCATTGTTGTTATCGACTGTTATCACCAAGCTTGGTGGGTATCCTGGACGGCAGGAGTAAACAAGCAGGCAGTAAACAGGATCTGGCATCCTGATGACGACAACACAAAGGAGTTCCCTTATATCAGCAGCAAGACTTCATCACGGCACAATAGCTACCATGACTTGCACAAAGCGATGACCACTCTCCGGCTGTACTTCATCAAGCCTATGGTGGGGCAGCGGCGGAGACAGACAAAGCCAGTCAACAGTCATTCACAACTAAATGTCTCATGTCATCTGGGATGACACTCCTATGTAGTTCGCCTTCATCGATACTCGAGGTTTGTCACGAACCTGTTAGATTGGCACGTCCTGTTGATCGGTGATTGAAAACTGATCGATATCTGCGAGTTGGTATTGAACGCTGTACTTTAATCTCCGAAGCTTCAATGAAAGTATAGGGTCAGTTAGTTGTAACACCATATTCATCCCCACTGTCCGGTGAAGTAAACAGAGGTTTCTTGATGGCAGTAATACACTTCTCTGTTAGAGATAAAACATGACCAACACAATGGGCAAAGTAGCCATGAGTATCGGTTGCCTCACCCACAATCACCATCATCACAGCAGTCTCTCACTGTTCTCACACCATCATCACATCTTTCTGTCACTGTTCTCACACCATCATCACAGCATTCTCTCACTGTTCTCACACCAACAGGGGCGGTGGGGTAGTCTAGTGGTTAAAGCGTTGGCTCGTCACGCCGAAGACCCGGGTTCGAATCCCCACATGGGTAAAATGAGTGAAGCCCATTTCTGGTGTCCCCCGCCGTGATATTGCTGGAATATTGCTTAAAGCGGCGTAAAACCAAACACAGTCAGTCAGTAAGTCTCACACCAAAATCACATCTATCTGTCACTGTTCTCACAGCAACATCAAAGCATTCTCTCACTGTTGCCACACCATCATCACAGCATTCTGTCACTGTTCTCACACCAACATCACAGTATTCTGTCACTGTTCTCACACCATCATCACAGCATTCTCTCACTGTTCTCAGACCATCATCACAGCATTCTCTCACTGTTCTCACACCATCATCACAGCATTCTCTCACTGTTCTCACACCAACATCACAGTATTCTGTGACTGTTCTCACACCAACATCACAGCATTCTCTCACTGATCTCACACAATCATCACAGAATTCTCTCACTGTTCTCACACCATCATCACAGTATTCTGTGACTGTTCTCACACCAACATCACAGAATTATCTCACTGTTCTCACACCATCATCACAGAATTCTCTCACTGTTCTCACACCAACATCACAGCATTCTCTCACTGTTCTCACACCATCATCACAGCATTCTCTCACTGTTCTCACACCATCATCACAGAATTCTCTCACTGTTCTCACCGCCTCCGTGGTGTAGTGGTTAGAGCGTCCGCCCGGAGAGTGGAAGGTCGCGTGTTCGATCCCCGACTGCGTCATACCAAAAGACGTTAAAATATGGTACTTGTTGGTCCCTGCCTGGCGCTCGGCATTAATGGGCACAACAAGGACTGGTCGGTTCGGAGTCAGTATAATGTGTCTGAGTGGGGTATTCATGCTTCACTGCGGTATGGTATCTCAGTGGGCTAGCACTATAAAACCAGCTGAAGTCTCTCACTGTTCTCATACCAACATCACAGCATTTTGATATTGTTCTCACACTAGCATCACAGCATTCTCTCACTGTTGTCACACCAACAGCGGAGCATTCTGTCACTGTTCTCACACCATCATTTCAGCATTCTCTCACTCTTCTCACATCAACATGACATTTTTCTGTCACTGTTTTCACACCATCATCACAGCATTCTCTCACTGTTGTCACACCAACATCGGAGCATTCTGTCACTGTTGTCACACCAACAGTACAGCATTCTCTCACTGTTCTCACACAAACATCACAGCATTATCTCACTGTTCTCACACTAGCGTCACAACATTCTGTCACTGTTCTCACACCATCATCACAGCATTCTGTCACTGTTCTCACACCATCATCACTTCTTTCTCTCACTGTTCTCACACCATCATCACATCTTTCTCTCACTGTTCTCACACCATCATCACTTCTTTCTCTCACTGTTCTCACACCATCATCACATCTTTCTCTCACTGTTCTCACACCATCATCACATCTTTCTCTCACTGTTCTCACACCATCATCACATCTTTCTCTCACTGTTCTCACACCATCATCACATCTTTCTCTCACTGTTCTCACACCATCATCACTTCTTTCTCTCACTGTTCTCACACTAGCATCACAGCATTCTCTCACTGTTATCACACCATCATTACAGCATTAACTCAATATTCTCACTCAGACATCTGACCATTATCTGACTGTTCTCACACCATCATTACAGCATTCTCTCACTGTTCTCACACCAACATCTCAGCATTGTGTCACTGTTCTCACCCCATCATCACATCTTTCTGTCACTGTTCTCACACCATCATCGCAGCATTATCTCACTGTTCTCACACTTGCATCACAACATTCTGTCACTATTATCACACAGGCATCTGAGCATTATCTCACTGTTCTCACACTAGCATCACAACATTCTGTCTCTGTTCTCACACCATCATCACAGAATTCTCTCACTGTTCTCACACCATCATCAAAGCATTATCTCACTATTCTCACACCATCATCACAGCATTATCTCACTGTTCTCACACTAGTATCACAACATTCTCTCACTGTTCTCACACCATCATCACATCATTATCTCACATTTCTCACACCATCATTACAGCATTCTGTCACTGTTCTCACACCATCATCACAGCATTCTCTCACTGTTGTCACACCAACATCGGAGCATTCTGTCACTGTTCTCACACCAACAGTACAGCATTCTCTCACTGTTCTCACACAAACATCACAACATTATCTCACTGTTCTCACACTAGCGTCACAACATTCTGTCACTGTTTTGACACCAACATCGGAGCATTCTGTCACTGTTTTCACACCATCATCACAGCATTCTCTCACTGTTGTCACACCAACATCGGAGCATTCTGTCACTGTTGTCACACCAACAGTACAGCATTCTCTCACTGTTCTCACACAAACATCACAGCATTATCTCACTGTTCTCACACTAGCGTCACAACATTCTGTCACTGTTCTCACACCATCATCACAGCATTCTGTCACTGTTCTCACACCATCATCACTTCTTTCTCTCACTGTTCTCACACCATCATCACATCTTTCTCTCACTGTTCTCACACCATCATCACATCTTTCTCTCACTGTTCTCACACCAACATCACTTCTTTCTCTCACTGTTCTCACACCAACATCACAACATTCTCTCACTGTTCTCAAACCAACATCAGATCATTCTCTCACTATTCTCACACCAATATCACATCATTATCTCACTGTTCTCACCCTAGCAACACACCATTCTCTCACTGTTCTCACACTAGCATCACATCTTTCTGTCACTGTTCTCACACAATCATCACAGCATTCTCTCACTGTTCTCACACCATCATCACAGCATTCTCCCACTGTTCTCACACCATCATTACAGCATTCTGTCACTGTTGTCACACCAAAATCACAGCATTATGTCACTTTTCTCACACCATCGTCACATCATTCTGTCACTGTTCTCACACCAGCATCACAGCATTCTCTCACTGTTCTCACACCAACATCACAGCATTCTCTCACTGTTCTCACACCAATATCACATCAGTCTCTCACTTTTCTCAATCCAACATCACAGCATTCTCTCACTGTTCTCACACCATCATTACTGCATTCTCTCATTGTTCTCACACCAACATCAGAGCATTATCTCACTGTTCTCACACCATTATTAGAGCATTCTCTCACTGTTCTCACACTATCATCACAGCATTCTGTCACTGTTCACATAACAGTTCACAGATCAAACACTGGGTGTCCAGATACACAACTGTTTATAGATTAAACACTGGGTGTCCAGATACACAAGTGTTCACAGATTAAACACTGGGTGTCCAGATACACAACTGTTTATAGATTAAACACTGGGTGTCCAGATACACAACTGTACACAGATTAAACACTGGGTGTCCAGATACACAACTGTTCACAGATTAAACACTGGGTGTCCAGATACACAACTGTTCACAGATTAAACACTGGGTGTCCAGATACACAACTGTTCACAGATTAAACACTGGGTGTCCAGATACACAACTGTTCACAGATTAAACACTGGGTGTCCAGATACACAACTGTTTATAGATTAAACACTGGGGATTCACCTTCTGGAGTGTACACATATTATAAACTGGGTGTACATAACAGTTCACAGATTAAACACTGGGGATTTAACTTCTGAAGTGTACACATATTATAAACTGGGTGTACATAACAGTTCAAAGATTAAACACTGGGGATTCAACTTCTGAAGTGTACACATATTATAAACTGGGTGTACATAACAGTTCAAAGATTAAACACTGGGGATTCAACTTCTGAAGTGTACACAGATTATAAATTGGGTGTATATATCTGTCCACATATTTAAAAATGGGTTCACCTTCTGAAGTGTGCACAGATTATTCATTGGGTGTATATAAGTGTTCACAAATTTAAAAATGGGGTTTCACCTTCTAAAGTGTGCACAGGTTATGTATTGGGTGTATATAAGTGTTCCCAGATTTAAAAATGGGTATCACCTTTTAAAGTGTGCACAGGTTATATATTCGGTTTAATAAATGTTCCCAGATTTAAAAATGGGGTTCACCTTTTAAAGTGTGCACAGGTTATATATTTAGGTGTACTGAAGTAGTCTTGGATTGAATTGAATGAAAAAAAACATAAAATGGTTCAAATAACAAATCTAACTAGCTATATTCAAAATTAACATTAGAAATGTAAATCTAAGATTTTGTAGAACAATATGTAGTTCCGAGTTCATATATTTAGGTTTGATTCAGACTGTCCGCTCATCCCATTCCTTCTGCGTCTTCCTGGACGGTTCTGGGGCACACATTTACGGGAATGGTTGATATATGACTGGTTTTACCTGGTCACGTGGGCGTTGAGGTTACACAACCCCGTGTTGCTGACCTAGTTTTGAAAACAGGACTTGAATGATTGGTGGTTAATAATGATGTATTGTTACCTTACAGCAGAGCGAATCTCAAACTATAGACACGCAAGTTAGGGGAATCTTTCAGGTGATGGTGGTAGTTCAGAACGGAAGACGGTCTAGAAAAGTGGATCATTCAAAGGACAAGCTGATGAGGTGGATGTTTTCGTAGACAAGCTATGGTTAGGTGGATCGTCCACACAATAATACTATTCTCGCCCTAAACATGTGACACACACGTTCAATGTTTCACTCAACAGACAGATTCTAGTCAGGTGGATCAACCTTACAATGCCACCATTGGCAGATCCAGAGGGGGGTTCAGGGGGTTCGCCTCCCCCCTTTTGAAAATGACTTAAGACCACATTGAAGATTTTTTTGGCGTTGGCGGAGCCAATGGGGGGGTTCAGGGGGTTTCGCCCCAACCCCCCTTCAACCACACACACACACACACACACACACACACACCCTTCAAGATTCCTGGATCCGCCCATGGCCACAGACATCTTGAACGATGGAGACACAAGCAAGGTGGATCAACCTTACAATACCACACACATCTTGAACGATGGAGACACAAGCAGGGTGGATCAACCTTACAATACCACAGACATCTTGAACGATGGAGACACAAGCAAGGTGGATCAACCTTATTAATACCAAGGTGGATCAAAGCAAGGTGGATACCACAATACCACAGACATCCTGAACGATGGAGACACAAGCAAGGTGGATCAACCTTACAATACCACAGACATGGATGAGACACAAGCAAGGTGGATCAACCTTACAATACCACACACATCTTGAACGATGGAGACACAAGCAAGGTGGATCAACCTTACAATACCACAGACATCCTGAACGATGGAGACACAAGCAAGGTGGATCAACCTTACAATACCACAGACATCTTGAACGATGGAGACACAAGCAAGGTGGATCAACCTTACAATACCACACATCTTGAACGATGGAGACACAAGCAAGGTGGATCAACCTTACAATACCACAGACATCCTGAACAATGGAGACACAAGCAAGGTGGGATCAACCTTACAATACCACAGACATGGAGAACAATGGAGACACATCTTGAACGATGGTGACACAAGCAAGGTGGATCAACCACAATACCACAGACATCCTGAACGATGGAGACACAAGCAATCAACCTTACAATACCACACACATCTTGAACGATGGAGACACAAGCAAGGTGGATCAACCTTACAATACCACACAGACATCTTGAACGATGGAGACACAAGCAAGGTGGATCAACCTTACAATACCACATCCTGACATCCTGAACGATGGAGACACAAGCAAGGTGGATCAACCTTACAATACCACAGACATCTTGAACGATGGAGACACAAGCAAGCAACGGTGGATCAACCTTACAATACCACAGACATCTTGAACGATGGAGACACAAGCAAGGTGGATCAACCTTACAATACCACAGACATCTTGAACGATGGAGACACAAGCAAAGGTGGATCAACCTTACAATACCACAGACATCCTGAACGATGGAGACACAAGCAAGGTGGATCAACCTTACAATACCACAGACATCTTGAACGATGGAGACACAAGCAAGGTGGATCAACCTTACAATACCACAGACATCTTGAACGATGGTGACACAAGCAAGGTGGATCAACCTTACAATACCACAGACATCCTGAACGATGGAGACACAAGCAAGGTGGATCAACCTTACAATACCACAGACATCTTGAACGATGGAGACACAAGCAAGGTGCATCAACCTTACAATACCACAGACATCTTGAACGATGGAGACACAAGCAAGGTGGATCAACCTTACAATACCACACACATCTTGAACGATGGAGACACAAGCAAGGTGGATCAACCTTACAATACCACACACATCTTGAACGATGGAGACACAAGCAAGGTGCATCAACCTTACAATACCACAGACATCTTGAACGATGGAGACACAAGCAAGGTGGATCAACCTTACAATACCACAGACATCCTGAACGATGGAGACACAAGCAAGGTGGATCAACCTTACAATACCACACACATCTTGAACGATGGAGACACAAGCAAGGTGGATCAACCTTACAATACCACAGACATCCTGAACGATGGAGACACAAGCAAGGTGGATCAACCTTACAATACCACAGACATCTTGAACGATGGAGACACAAGCAAGGTGGATCAACCTTACAATACCACAGACATCTTGAACGATGGAGACACAAGCAAGGTGGATCAACCTTACAATACCACAGACATCTTGAACGATGGAGACACAAGCAAGGTGGATCAACCTTACAATACCACAGACATCTTGAACGATGGAGGACATTACAATACCACAGACATCTTGAACGATGGAGACACAAGCAAGGTGGATCAACCTTACAATACCACAGACATCTTGAACGATGGAGACACAATCTTGCAATGGTGACATCAACCTACAATACCACAGACATCTTGAACGATGGATACCACATCAACCTTGCATCTTGAATGGAGATGGACAATACCACACACATCTTGAACGATGGAGACAAGCAAGGTGGATCAACCTTACAATACCACACATCACATCTTGAACGATGGAGACACAAGCAAGGTGGATCAACCTTACAATACCACAGACATCTTGAACGATGGAGACACAAGCAAGGTGGATCAACCTTACAATACCACAGACATCTTGAACGATGGACACGCAAGGTGGATCAACCTTACACCACAGACATCCTGAACGATGGAGACACAAGCAAGGTGGATCAACCTTACAATAACACAAGCAAGGTGGATCAACCTTACAATACCACAGACATCCTGAACGATGGAGACACAAGCAAAGGTGGATCAACCTTACAATACCACAGACATCCTGAACAATGGAGACACAAGCAAGGTGCATCAACCTTACAATACCACAGACATCCTGAACGATGGAGACACAAGCAAGGTGGATCAACCTTACAATACCACAGACATCTTGAACGATGGAGACACAAGCAAGGTGGATCAACCTTACAATACCACAGACATCCTGAACGATGGAGACACAAGCAAGGTGGATCAACCTTACAATACCACAGACATCTTGAACGATGGAGACACAAGCAAGGTGCATCAACCTTACAATACCACAGACATCTTGAACGATGGAGACACAAGCAAAGGTGCATCAACCTTACAATACCACAGACATCTTGAACGATGGAGACACAAGCAAGGTGGATCAACCTTACAATACCACACACATCTTGAACGATGGAGACACAAGCAAGGTGCATCAACCTTACAATACCACAGACATCTTGAACGATGGAGACACAAGCAAGGTGGATCAACCTTACAATACCACAGACATCCTGAACGATGGAGACACAAGCAAGGTGGATCAACCTTACAATACCACAGACATCCTGAACAATGGAGACACAAGCAAGGTGCATCAACCTTACAATACCACAGACATCCTGAACGATGGAGACACAAGCAAGGTGGATCAACCTTACAATACAATACCACAGACATCTTGAACGATGGAGACACAAGCAAGGTGGATCAACCTTACAATACCACAGACATCCTGAACGATGGAGACACAAGCAAGGTGGATCAACCTTACAATACCACACACATCTTGAACGATGGAGACACAAGCAAGGTGGATCAACCTTACAATACCACAGACATCTTGAACGATGGAGACACAAGCAAGGTGCATCAACCTTACAATACCACACACATCTTGAACGATGGAGACACAAGCAAGGTGGATCAACCTTACAATACCACACACATCTTGAACGATGGAGACACAAGCAAGGTGCATCAACCTTACAATACCACAGACATCTTGAACGATGGAGACACAAGCAAGGTGGATCAACCTTACAATACCACAGACATCTTGAACGATGGAGACACAAGCAAGGTGGATCAACCTTACAATACCACACACATCTTGAACGATGGAGACACAAGCAAGGTGGATCAACCTTACAATACCACAGACATCTTGAACGATGGAGACACAAGCAAGGTGGATCAACCTTACAATACCACAGACATCTTGAACGATGGAGACACAAGCAAGGTGGATCAACCTTACAATACAATACCACATCTTGAACGATGGAGACACAAGCAAGGTGGATCAACCTTACAATACCACAGACATCTTGAACGATGGAGACACAAGCAAGGTGGATCAACCTTACAATACCACACACATCTTGAACGATGGAGACACAAGCAAGGTGGATCAACCTTACAATACCACAGACATCTTGAACGATGGAGACACAAGCAAGGTGGATCAACCTTACAATACCACACACATCTTGAACGATGGAGACACAAGCAAGGTGGATCAACCTTACAATACCACAGACATCTTGAACGATGGAGACACAAGCAAGGTGGATCAACCTTACAATACCACAGACATCTTGAACGATGGAGACACAAGCAAGGTGGATCAACCTTACAATACCACACATCTTGAACGATGGAGACACAAGCAAGGTGCATCAACCTTACAATACCACAGACATCTTGAACGATGGAGTACCACACACATCTTGAACGATGGAGACACAAGCAAGGTGCATCAACCTTACAATACCACAGACATCTTGAACGATGGAGTCACTAGTCAGGTGTGAAAATAAAGTGAATTGACAATAAAGTTTAGGATTCGAATATTCGAATTTCGTTAACCCAGGATTAAAACCCAAACAATATAACTTTTGTGAAGCTCGGTTTAATTTTTGAACAGCATCGTCATCTCTTGTTGTCGTTGTGACATCGATTCAGTTCCATTGCCTTGCCATTGACTGTCACAGTGTACTTTACTAGCAAAGCGTTGTTTCCTGCTCCACTTGCTATAATGTATCGTCTACTAGTACACGAGCAAGCCAATGTTCATTCTCATGTATCAACACACAGCAGCAGCAGCAGTGACTCATGTCTACACCGCCGACCAGACAGGCCGACGACGACGGGGAGACAGAGTATACTTCAACAATGTCAGCACAAGTAAAATGTTGCCACAATATACAAGTGACTCACGACCCTCGGTGACAATTAACATCATCACATTATAACAGGGCAACGCACTTGCTTGGCACCCACAGGTACTTCACTGCTTTAATACCCGTACAGGCAGCATGTTACTGGGGGAGCGAGGGGATCAATTGCACTGTAGGAAGGTACCACCTGTACCGAACGAGGGGACCAATTGCATCATACGAGGGGACCACCTGTTTTGTACGAGGAGACCACCTGTACTGAACGAGGGGACCACCTGTACTGAACGAGGGGACCACCTGTATTGTAAGAGGGGACCACCTGTACTGAACGAGGGGACCACCTGTACTGAACGAGGGGACCACCTGTACTGAACGAGGGGACCACCTGTATTGTACGAGGGGACCACCTTTACCGTACGAGGGGACCACCTGTACTGAACGAGGGGACCACCTGTACCGTACGAGGGGACCACCTGTACCGTACGAGGGGACCACCTGTACTGAACGAGGGGACCACCTGTACTGAACGAGGGGACCACCTGTACTGAACGAGGGGACCACCTGTATTGTACGAGGGGACCACCTGTATTGTACGAGGGGACCACCTGTACTGAACGAGGGGGCCACCTGTACCGTACGAGGGTACCACCTGTACCGTACGAGGGTACCACCTGTACTGAACGAGGAGACCACCTGTACTGAACGAGGGGACCACCTGTACCTACTAGACATGGAGGTTTCAAGTTGCTTGTTAAGGTTGCCCACACACAAACGGCTTCTCCTATAATGTTGAACGAGGCAACGTTTGACGTGTTTTAATAGTGGACCAGTTAGTTGCTGTTTGCAGTTCTGTATATTAAACAAATTCCATTTTCATCTGGTGAGTTGTGTTTGATACATCAGCAAAAATATTACTGCGGCTTGAGGAATATTAACTTAGGTTATATCCATGTTTTAGAAATAGCTGAACTGTACAATACTCTTTCATCGGGCCACGTTCATCACGACTTCCACGACCTACGTAAACCAGGACTACCGCTGAATTAGTCAGTAAAACCACAGGAATGTATGTTGGGAAAAAGAGGCCTTGGAATACGAGTGTTAATCGTGAATGTAACAGCAACAAGCAGCCCACCGAGCTTGTAGCGACATCACCAAAATGAGTAAAAGCCTTTATCTGTGTGTACACACATGATCGCGGCTTTGTTAATGAAGGGAGATAACTCTAATTTGTCATTGAGCTTTGCTGGTGTCAAGGCGCTTGTGACACAAAACAAATATAGGATTTACGGTACTATTTGCGTAAGACCTCAAGTCATGTCCAGAATAAACTCACCCAACTCCGTCATGACGTCAGTTTGTCAATGATTTTTGTAGTTAAGCGCTACACGTAACGAATTCACTTTAAGATGTACTAATGCGTTGTGACTCTTTAATTTGAAACAATATAGCATTAGTGTTTGTCCGGAGATGTGTGGGTGATCTTGAATACATGTCTTGTTTATGTGAAGGTATATTAACCTGATACATGACCTACCACTGGCACTTAGTGTCACGATGACGGTGAACGTCAGTTTACTACCAATCATTACAAATAACTTCCAGCCTACCAAAGATTATTGTAGATTTTCTTATTATTAAAAATAGCACAAACCTCAAACGCCTGCCGTGAATATGTAAATCCTAAACGCATTCCTGATATGATATAGAGCAGTTGTTTGAGAGCCGAAAGACTGTGGTTCGATCCCCGGTCCCGTCAGACCAATATTCGTGTGAAGCCTGCTGCTGGTGTACTCAACATCAACGGGCTGGTCTGTATGGCGTGGTGATCGGTAGAGGATAAAGAGAGGGCTGGTCAGTATGGCGTGGTGGTCGGTAGAGGGTAAAGAGAGGGCTGGTCTGTATGGCGTGGTGATCGGTAGAGGATAAAGAGAGGGCTGGTCTGTATGGCGTGGTGATTGGTAGAGGGATAAAGAGAGGGCTGGTCAGTATGGCGTGGTGGTCGGTAGAGGATAAAGAGAGGGCTGGTCAGTATGACGTGGTGGTCGGTAGAGGATAAAGAGAGGGCTGGTCAGTATGGCGTGGTGGTCGGTAGAGGATAAAGAGAGGGCTGATCAGTATGGCGTGGTGTTGGTGGGTAGAGGATAAAGAGAGGTCTGGTCAGTATGGCGTGGTGGTCGGTAGAGGGTAAAGAGAGGGCTGGTCTGTATGGCGTGGTGGTCGGTAGAGGATAAAGAGAGGGCTGGTCAGTATGGCGTGGTGGTCGGTAGAGGGTAAAGTGAGGGTTGGTCAGTATGGCGTGGTGTGTCGGTAGTGGGTAAAGTGAAGGCTGGTCTGTATGGCGTGGTGGTCGGTAGAGGGTAAAGCAAGGGCTGGTCAGTATTGCGTAGTGGCAGTTAGAGGATTAAGCAAGGGTTGGTCTGTATGGCATGGTGTGTCGGTAGAGGGTAAAGCAAGGGCTGGTCTGTATGGCATGGTGTGTCGTTAGAGGGTAAAGCATGGGCTAGTCAGTATGGCATGGTGGTCGGTAGAGGGTAAAGCAAGGGCTGGTATGTATGGCATGGTGTGTCGGTAGAGGGTAAAGCATGGGCTGGTCAGTATGGCGTGGTGTGTCGGTAGAGGGTAAAGTGAGTTTTAAACTGTAATTGGTCAGTACTTGAGATTCACTACTGGTACTCTGTTCACGAATGTATTCGGGGCTGGCTGTGTGTACCTGTATGCTTCATATTGTCACGTTATGCTGCTGGTGGTTTCAGACTGAGGTACTCTTGACCCAGAACAATGTCGGACACGAGGACGTCCAAACTCGTGAAACTTTCACTTTTATTTTCCTCCTCAAGCAAACCATTAGTGGTGCAGTGTGTGGGTTCAACGTCCCCAGGCGAGCAGGCTAGCACGCAGTCCCCGGACTCCAACTGTCAGGCGCAGATGACAGGGAGACATTCCTCTTTCCACATCCCGGTACTTCACGCGCAGGTGTCTGCAGCCGTTCACAGACCGGTCACGTGATACACGGAAACGTGAAGACCGTGTCAAAGTAGGGCATGATTGGATCACAAGGGAGTCTGCATAACACATGAAACCATTCCGGGGTGTGGGAAATATCTCCTTCTCTATTTTTAACAATCTTATTTAACCTGTAACAAGTGGTATATTTAGGTTGAGTCCATCCGGGATTCGAACCCAAACTCTCAGTGTGAGACTACAAATAGCCAGCACGTGCACCGATCTGACCCACTCAGCCACCCCGACCTCCACAAACATGGAAGTCTGACAACTGGTAGTCAAGGTCACGTATTATGTGTACGTTTCTGCCAAGTGAAAGCTGGAACGCTCCCTTGGTCGAAAGCTGTGAACTTATAATAATGTCATTTAAAAAAGTGGTCAAATATAAATTGTAATCCCAAATATTACTCTTGCTACAACTGACCACTTCGTAAAGTTTGACAACGGTACAAGAATAAGTATCGAAACGTCGCACTCACGAAATATAAGAAGTTGTTATCCGTAAAGATTGTCTATATTAGTGCTAGGTACAGCACTTGTAAAGCCACTGTGTATTGTTAGTTAACCATATAGCCAGTGAGTTAACTGCTTCCTCAAAACCCCAACTACATACCGAGTACCATCTCTTGTGAAGTTTTGAATCTACTCAGATCTCAAATCCTTGGCTGAATTCACTCTGGAATGGCGGAATGTTACGTAACTCAATACATGCTAATAAAATACGTGACGGTAATGTTTAGGTTCACCGCCATCATCACTGTTAACAATGTCGAATCAGTGCATCAAATACAAGTGATGTTAACAATGTCGAATCAGTGCATCAAATACAAGTGATGTTAACAATGTCGAATCAGTGCATCAAATACAAGTGATGTTAAAAATGCCGAATCAGTGTATCAAATACAAGTGATGTTAACAATGCCGAATCAGTGTATCAAATACAAGTGATGTTAACAATGCCGACTCAGTGCATCAAATACAAGTGATGTTAACAATGCCGAATCAGTGTATCAAATACAAGTGATGTTAAAAATGCCGACTCAGTGCATCAAATACAAGTGATGTTAACAATGCCGAATCAGTGTATCAAATACAAGTGATGTTAACAATGCCGAATCAGTGTATCAAATACAAGTGATGTTAACAATGCCGACTCAGTGCATCAAATACAAGTCCACGTACATATAGGGGGTCAAAGGAATATAATCTTGAAAGGAGAAGGTCTTAAAATCAGTTAACTTGACAATTTATTTATTAATTTTATTAAAGTTTGACAATAATCCTAAGCGAGACAATAAAAAAACAGAATAAGACAAGGAAAGGATTTTGTTTTTGATGTGACGTCAGTAAAACAATTTCGCTTTACGTTTGATCTTTAGAACATAAATGTCCTGCATAGCAAATCTGTCCTGTACGAGTTGTCTGTTTGCTGATTGGGCGGCAAATCACGGATACATCACGTGACAGTTAACACGACAACCTAGGATTGTCAGAAGTCGAGCAATATATAACTTCTGCAATGTCACGTCACGTACTGAGCGCCATTTTGACGTGACATTTCCCAGCGAGGGGGTGTTGCGGTTACATCACGGAAGTACGCGAGTTTCCGTCGTTGAGAATACGTTGATTTCGTTCGTGCGACTTGCATGGTCTTAACGTGGCAAAACGTCAGGTTAAACAGACTAAATTAAAACCCGGCAAACGGGTCAGTGTGCACTCTTGTTTCATTCTCAGCTTCCTGAAGAGTATACAAGCCACGTGGGCCTTAAGCGTCCTGGGTACCCAGTCACTGCAGATGAGACCCAGTTATGGTAACATGCCTTTCTAAGGTGACAACACGTGTAACAGGGGTTTCAGTGAGGAACAGAATCAAATTCTGGAGTTGCCTCTCGGACGCCCCCAACCTACCCTCGGCCAACATGGCTCTGCTTCGCCTGATCTGTGGTCTTTCAGCCTAATTCAAAAACACGTGCTGCTAACCCACCCCCACCCTCCATCACACACACCCCAATTATATGCATAAGGGCATAAAGGGGGTATATGGATGTCAACTTGTATATTTGTAGGTACTCGGCGTTTCGGGGTATACTCTGACTCTTTCATTACTGATCAGCCTGTGAATGTGAAACCACCACCACCTACCAGAGGTCATCACAGATCAGTCCGTGAGTATTTCCTGCGGCATACAGCGTGGACTGTGCCCAGTTTTACGTTGGCTACGACACAAAACGTTCAATGAAGAATGTTCACATTATATGACGAAAGTTTCTCTTTCCTGAATGCATTCAGTGTGTGTTCATCTTTGGTTGGCTTCCTTGGAGCTTTCCCGTTATTTCCCTTAAGTGATACTACTAAGAAATAATCGATCCACATTTCACATGTGTTCCTGTTATTTCTGTGTCTTATATTCGTGTTCAGGTAAAACATACTTGATGACATGAGCTGGAGTGAAATGACCACCCTTATATATGTTGTATCTGGGCACAACTTGCTTCGTCTGTCGCGGGTTACGACATTGTACATACTGAGCACTGACGTTCAAATTTTAGTCGTTGAATAGGCGGATTTACTCTGATTACCATGGATACAGAGGTAGTAATTGAACCTCTCCAGTATCTGGCCGTCCCCGTGCGTCAGCCGCCCACGCGCGGGGTTACTGAGAGCTCTGCTGGAGCACGGTCGGCTGCGGTCTGGCGTTTCCCAACCCTCTGGAAGGGCTCTGTGTAAAACAATGCTTATAAAGAAGCTAATTACTCAAGGACTGCCAGGCATCGTGATGTAATCTCCGGTCGTTCCAGACGCCGTCACCGTATTGTTCGTTAGATGATTGAGAAGATGTGATTGGCTTGCCACAGGCTCCGGTT